AGTCAATTTACACTTAGCTTAAAAGCTCTAGGGGGAAACAGAAAAAGTTTCCAGTGAGACCACTCACTTACCTACAATTGCTAGATTAACCTTCTGGATTTTAACTGAGTTAACTCATGTGTTTTCTTAGTGGGAGGAGAGAGGCAATTTGGGAAGATAAATGAGCGTGTGTGTAATGCTGCAGACCCTGGGTTCAAATTCTGGCCCTTCCACCTACTGGGCTTTGTTTGCATCTATTCACTGGAGAGCTAAGTAGAATCTAATACCTCACAGAGTCCCTGTGAGGTATTAGATGACAATGCGGAAAAAGTGCTGGAGAATGCTGCACAGGAAGTATATATGGATGGTTGCTGTTATCTGAGAGTATTTACTAGATCAAGTTTCCAAAAAGATATATTTCAAGTCTTTGGTAGCTGCTGAGCACTCTTTTTGAGGAGTTCGGTGTGGTGTAGATTTTGTTTTGCGGTCAGAAAGGCATTTTTCAAATGAGTGAAAAGTGGGAATAAATTGGATTTTCCAGAGAGCATTGCATCTTCTCCATCCACAACCCTCACAGCGTCCTGCTTGGGCATTTGCCTTCACTGGCTCTCCGTGTCTACCTAAGTCAGCAGAGCATGCAGCCAAGCTAGAGGATGCTGCAAATAAAATGAGATTGTTCTAAAGGAATGTTAGAAATGCACTTTGTCAGAAATGTTGGATGGGCTTCTTAAATTGGCTAAGAATTAGAGGCTGAGAGCTGGGATTTTATACCTAATAAGTTTGGATCCAAATATTTTACAGACGTAAAGCCACCTGGTAGTTTTGTAAGAGAAGGGATTGTATGTATCTATCTTGTATGCCATGGTCACAGTGACACACAGTAATTGGTCAACAAGCCAGTGATAAATGAATAGATAAAAATCAGGTCCATAGTCAGAAGACGCTAGTTATGAACCTGAGGCTGTCCACTGCCAGAGTTATGACTGTCTCTGTGCTTGCTTTCCTCATCTGTAAAATGAGGAACATGAGAATACCATGCAAAGTTATTATTGCAGTTCAGTAAAATAGAGTACGTAGAAATGGTCTCTGTGTTGAAAAGAACTACAGAAATACCAATAGTAGAGTATCATCTTGGTTGATAGGCAGCTCCTCTTTATGGTTCCAAACCCAATACAGGGCTCTGGTCCTCTCTGATATGCAGAATTAACTACACTATTCCATTCTATTATATATAATGAATGTACATCTTTTTTAAATTAAAAAGAACTGTAAAAGCTCAAGTCACAAACTTTTACAGAAAAGTTGGAAAGTACAAAGAACATGTTTTACTGAACTGTTTTAGAATTAAAAGTTTCCAACCTGATGCTCCATGACCCCCAAACTTGAGTAGGTATTTCTGTCCAACAACCATATCCTCCTGGATACCCCAGTACAAGAATGAGAATCAAAAAATTCATGGGAACAGATCACTAGTACATGATCCTCAGGCACCATTCTCCTTTCACTAATTGTCCCCACTATAGTCTTTGCAGTGGAAGGGTCTCATTCTAAATCACAGATTGCATTTAGTTGGTCTACAACACTCAGTCTTTCCTTGACTCTCAGGACTTTTGTCAATTTTTAATATTACAGGCCAGCTATTCTGTAGAATCTTCCTCAATTTGGGTTGGTCTGGTATCTCTTTGTGGTTATCCTCGTAGCCCAAAGGATAGCACCTGATCTCAATTGATCTGATTATTGATGAGGTTTATTCTGATGATCTGCTCAAGGTGGTGTCTGCCAGGATTCTCATAAGTCATTCTTTTCCCCTTTGCAATAAATAAGTATTTTCTGGGAATGTTTTATGAAATTATATAAATACCCTATTTATTATAAAATTTCAATACATGCATTCATATATATTTAAATAAATTTCTTTAGATGTATTTTAGATATTTTTAAATAAATTTCTTTAGATAATGACTCATATTTACTATTTTGTTGAGTGGACATAATTTCTTCTTATTCTTATTTATTTAGATGTTTATTTTCTCCCTTTATGAGACCATTCAATCTGATTTCTGTCCTTTGACACGTTCCCATCAATCTTTGAGCACTTCCTTACTTTGCCCCACATTTGGACTCCCTGTCCCAGCTTTGGAATCAGTCATTTTCCCATGGATTCCTGGTTTGTTTTAGTGGGAAATGATATTCTGAAGCCAACATCTGGGTGCTAGGTGTGTTCATTGCTATAGTAGTGACCCTGTTCCTAGGTGTACATAGTAGACAAAGCCAGGCAATATATGTATACACATACATGTATATCATGTGTCCACATACATTCACATATACATACACATACAAAGACATTTATATACATATGTGTGATATACTCTATGTTTAGAGTATATCTATAATTCCCATATTTTACAGTGAGAAAAACTGTGTTCATTTAGCTACCTATGCACTTTCACATCAGTCCTCCTGCAGGTAGCCAGTCTCTTACCTTGCAGCACCCCTATCCCTATGCCACATGTTCTTTTCTCAGCTTGGACCCTAAATTGCCATCCTGGCATCCCCACTTACAGACACCTTTCTCATCCCACCCCAGGCTGCGCCTCTGTATGGATGTCACCCTCAACCTGTTCAACTTGACGCCCCAAGCCAGGCTGCCCCTTCATAGGGACACGTCCTCAATGTGCTGGAGCCCTGACACCAACGGCAGTTAACACTATCCCATGCTCTCTTCACCCTGCTTGGTCACTAACACCTGACACTAGAACCTGATCCCACTGCATCCTGACATTTGCCTTGCTCGGATGCACTTATGGTTCCAGGAATAAATATTTTCAGAAGGGCAAGGAAATGGAGGGGAAGATGATGACAGGGACTGCTACAAGATTCATCAATTTGTGACCTTTACCTATGTCTGTATTTACACACACACACACACACACACACCTTTTGAGAAGATGAATCTGGGGAACAGTTAAAGAAATTAGAGGAAGGGATGGGAGAAGTAGCCAACTAGAGAGGCTCACAGGTTAGGAACTGCCTAAAAATGGGGAACAAGTGGAGAAAACGGAATTTCTAAAATCCTGTCCTAGGTATCCAGGGGAGAGATGGGAAGACAGAAAGAGAACAAGGTATGGCTGGTGGATACGGAAAAGCAATGTTGGGTTATAACATTAACATTTTAGATAGAGACTGGGTAAGGAATGCATGAATTTTAAATTAATTGATCATTAGGCAGGGAGGGCAGTGACAGAGCAATGTGAGACTCCAAGATGGATCTGTGTTTGAAGGTCTGTGTCCACCGTTCGACAATAAGGGAACAAAGGGCAGGGACTATGTCTGGCTCCATGCCTGGTTTACAGAAGGATCCAATACATGTCTGTTGTTTGTCAAACTGCACCTGCTGGACAGAAAGGGTCCACAGCTCAGCAACTACGAGAGGCAGAGTGAGGTGTCTGCTCTGTTCAGTTACTGTTAACCCCCAGAGATATACAGAGAAAATAAAAAACCATGGAAGTTGCAGTCAAAGCATAAGATCAGACTACTGTTAGAATTTGCTAGAATTTTTTTTTTTTAACCAAGCCCATGTTTGGTGTTAACTGCATCCCCAGGAGATGCAGTATTTCTTTCCCCAGTGATTATTATATTTCCCAGAGCCCCTGGCTTTCAGAAATGTTTAATCAAGCATCACATATATTCCAGAAATACTTCCCAGACTCCTCAGCTTTTCTTGACAGTTTCACCTTCCTTTGCTCTTTCTCTGTCTTTTTTCACAACATAAACTTATCTAGCAATTTTTCTGCATAATGTAAAGATTTGTCATTTAAAAAAAAATCATAATAGAACATATGACCATTAGCAAATCAATCTGCATCAGACGTCCCCCTGAGAACTTTAAAATGTGGAGAACGCATACTACCCATAGGGAAGAAATATGGACTTGCCACTAATTTCCTAATAACCAAGTTAATTGGATTATAGCTTAAATTTGCCTTTAAAAGATTATTTCTGATGATTCTCAGGCTGTTCCTTTTACACTGAATTTTTACAAACTTCAGTGATTACCTAATCAGAATCCGAGATCCAAAATTACGATGGATTCAATTTTTCAAGAAGGTTTCAGTTGAGCAACCAATTGCCCTTTGTGTTCAAAGCCAACTCTCAAAGGTAGATGGGATGAAGAAGGAACAGGAGAGAAAAGCAGGGGTTTTCATCCCCTTGATGAGCTACATAGTCAAAGACACAGTCATCCCACAAGCTGCCCTGCTCACTTAGGAGACCTGCACTCCTAGAAGTAATTTACTGTTGGGGAACTTTGGCTGATTCCAGGAGGCATCTCATGAGCATCTGCAGAGTTTCTAGAAAACTCCCAAGTGCCACAAAACACACACACACACACACACACATACACACACACTTGAATAAAGCATGCAGTTAGATTAAATCTTACTTTGCAAGAAATCTCTAGTTTGCAAGAGATCAGTTATTCAGATGGTTAATTACACATGGCATATGGCAAAAGGCAATAGAAAGAAATTGGTATTAAAGCAACCACCCCATAACTTAACATGCAGTAGATCCCTCAAAGGAGCCTTTTGCATCTCCAGCATTTTGGGAACTCAAAACAGATGGACAAGTACTGATTGCCCTGGGAGAAAATATGACACAAAGACGAAAGCATTGGCACTGGGTTTCCAGGATACACATGTAACAATCTCAAGGCAAAAATGCAGGTTATTCTATCACAGCCTCTCTAGAAGGTGAAAACCATCCCACAACTATCCTGATCTCTGAGAAAAATGGAAAGATTGACCTAACCATGGAATTTCCTGGTCTTGGTAGATTTATGAGCAAAGATCCAGCAGATGACCCAACTCAAAACTGCTGGCTGCACAGCAAATTCAATTATCCCAAATTCCGACACACCACCCTTCTTCCTGTCCCTCACCCCTTTCTTATCATAATCTTTCCTGGGCCATCGACCCCCTCTGGGTTGTCTAAGCCCATGTTTAATCTTTCTGCAAGCTCAGGACTAAGAAGGGATGCTGAGGACATTTCATAAGAGGGAGAAAGCCACATTCTTGATGAAGAGCAGCGACATAAATTCAGCCTCGCCTGGCCCAACTCTCACAAACAGTAAGTAAATCAGTCCTATCCCTCTCTCTAGTCATCTCCAAGGACAAAGAAAACAGCATTAGGACATGAGGAGTTAGGTTTTGTTTTATTTTTTATGTCCCTGCCTGATAAAGAAGGGAATCTCCTGAATTAGTTTTATCTGTGAGCCACCATTATGCAAATTACATACCTATCATCCATATGCATTCACCTTGCCTGTCATCCTGGCCACATATGGTTCCTGGAGTACTGAGAAATCACTACAAAACATCTTTGGCAGTGAAGGAGACAGGAACCTCCAGAGAACAACTCTTGAAGGTCAGTGATTCAGAGCTAGGACTAGAAAGCTACTTGCACTCAAAAGATTCCAGGGAATTTCACTTTCTCATGACTCAGACCCTTTCTCCCACCTTTTCAATTGCCATTCATCCCATTACTACCTGCCTCATTCTTTCCATAATTCCCATCTAAAATGTTTGATAGACATAATCCAGCTTACTTGGCTAAATACTGTCACTTCATTCTGAGCACCTAAGGGTTTATTTGAGATCTATGAATTGTCTGTCTCTTGTACGGGGACTATTGCCTGGGGCCAGGAAAGTCACATGTCAAAGAATAACATAGGTTTGTTCCCAAATGGACCTGTGGGTATGACACACACCCTGACTAGCCAATCTAGGTTACTCTACTGCCAAAGTCAGGACAATGCACGGAATATTCAGTGCAGCATCTCCTATGAAAGGCATCCTATGCGCCAGCTTACAAAACTTATTTAGTCTCCCTGCTTCACCCTGAAACTTTAATTTATCTCATGGAAAATTTCACATTACAAAAGAATACTAACTTGTTACTGGGCCTCGATAAAATGGTGGGCATTATCAACTCAATTCATCGTTGAGCCTTCTGAGGCTCTGGCCCCTGACCTGTGGTTGTACCCCTTGTGACCTAGCAGCCCCTTCTGACTCTCCTTAGGCTTTTCTGTCTGTGTGAGCCTACCTCTTTGACACATGATCCACAGGAGACAAACTGCCTCAGTTGTTCCCATTCCAAATCTGAAACACAAAGTACCTTACAGTTTTCAGAGCATCTTCACACATTTTCCAGTACATACATCACTGTCTATATATTTCAACTACTTGTTCATCTGCTGTCTATCACTTTCTGTTGAAACATGTCCACAAGAATAGGGTTTTGTATTTTTCTTCCTTTCTGCACTTTTGCACCTAGAACAATGCCAGCCCACTTTACACACTCAGATGCTTCCTCTTTAGTAGTTGTTTTTTTTGAGAGGGTGTCTCCCTATGTTGCCCAGGCTAGTCTTGAATCCTGGGCTCAAGCATCCTCCTGACTTCTGGGATTACAGGCATGCACCACTGAGTCCAGCTCATACAATTTCATTTTGTTTGAGTTGCTGTTTTGGTTAGGGATGTGTGTGTGTGTGCTGTTTGTTTGTTTTTTGGTAGTGCTGGGGACTGAACCCATGACTGCACACAGGCACTTGATAGGCAAGTACTCTACCACTGAGCTACATTCCCAGCCCTACCATCTACCCCCAATGCACTGTTTTTTGTTTTTTGTTTTTTGTACTGGGGATTGAACCCAGAGGCATTTTACCACTGCACCACATCTCACAGCCCTTTTTAAAATGTTTTTAATTTGAGAAATGGTCTTGATAAATTGCTTAGGCCCTTGCTAATCTGCTGAGGCTGGTCTTGAACTTGCAATTCTCCTACCTTAGCCTACCGAGTAGCAGGGATTTTAAGTGTGTGCCACCATTCTGGCCCAATATCCATTTTTAAATGCATCCCTAATCTTTGAGATGGGCAAGGATTGGTCCTTCTTCTGGAGAAAAAAATAGAAGCCCTTCAGCTCCTCTGAGGAACTCTGGCTCTAGGTGCACTCCGCTCTGCCTCCTGTCAAATAGTGATTTCGAGATATAGATGCTCTCTTGGAGAAAGGAGGAAGCTGCTGTGGAGTTTCTAGATGTCTACTTTTGCAGCAACATTTAACCCACCAAAGAAAGATTTTCAGTTTGTTTTATTTTGTAAAAGCTTCCTGGGAGCCCCCAATCTCTCTACCAAGCAGCTCTCTATCCTCAGAATGGAAATGCCCTCTAGGCAGGGGCTCGAACCAGTTCGGCCTGACCACCCCGGCAGGCTGCGGTCTCTCTCTTACCCAACCTGGGGTCCCTCCTCCAGCCCTCTGTGAATCCAGTCCATTTAAAATTTCCTTTGAAAAGGTCTCTGTTTGGGTGAGTTCCTTGGGTTCTGCCTAGAGAGCGGCAGATTATCTGAAAATAGGTGTTATTGATTACAACCAGGTGGTCTTTGTGGAAAGGGGTCCACTTGAACCAAAATAAATATTTGCCAGCACAAAGAACAAGCTGGTCCCTGTGCGGGGCGGGGGCGGTCTCCGCGCAGCGCCAGCAGCCAGCGGCCCTTTCTGGCCCCCGGGCTGCCGCGGGGCGCGTCGCTGCGCAAACCCCGGATTGTGTTTCTTCAATTAGGACAGAAACGCGCGGGGGGTGGGCGAGGGGAGCACAAAGGCCCCGCTGGCTCCGTTGCCAAAGGCTCGCAGCCCACGGCCGGCTGCAGGCTCGAAGCCTGCTTAGAGCTTGGAATTGTATTTTCTTTGGCTTTCTGGCGCGCTCTTTATTATTTATTTCTTTTCCCTCTGTTTTATTTTTATTTTCAAGTTTGCCGGCCGGGCTGGATGCCGTCCATTCACCCCGCTGCCTTGGAGCACGGCGCGCAGACAGCCGGAGCCGGCTCGGGCTCAGTCCCGCGGCCCGCCCGGCCGCCGCCGGCACCCAGGGGCGCGGGGCTTGGCGTGGGGGTACAGGGGCAGCTCCAGGGCGCAGCCTGGCTCAAATCCTGGCGTGGAGATGCAGGGGCAGCTGCGAGACGCCGTCCAGGGTACCGAGCCTCCAAGTGGTGCAGAGCAGTGCACACCACCAGGCGACGCGGGGGCGGGGGTGGGGGGTGTACTGGCTAGGACTGAAGGAGTCTAGCTTGGCAATGGGTCCCTCCCCTATACTGGAGTCACGTGACCTGGCAGCTAATGTAGTTTTCTTGAAAAGATGATATTAATTGGAGTGAGATGTGGGAGTGGGTTCAGAAGGAAGCTGAAAATGACCCTTGCTGGGGTCCCCTCTCCTCCGTTCTCTTTGCCTCTCCCCACCCAGGGCAAGCAGACATTCCCCTCTGAGACGCGCCCCAGGGTTCCCACTGGCTGTTCTCCAAGAGACTCTGAAAAGTCTCCATTTTCTTCTCCAGATTCCTACCTCACCTCTCAAGAGCTGGTGGTGGATAGTTTGGGGCTGAGGGGGACTCATGGAGAGAGTGGAGGGGTTCCCTTCTCTGTTAGTTTAGGAGACTAGAGTGTGGGGGCATAACCAGCATATGGAAGAGACCTTGGGGAGCCCCACAGGTAGCCAGAGGGTCTTGATCAATGTCAATGGGGGAGGACTGGAGGCTGCAAACGGTATGGGACATAGGAAGCAAGAAAGGCTTAATTCTGAGATTTAGGAAAACAGTGGAAAAGCTGCTGCAGTTAGAAATAACAGAGTCGGGAAACCACATAAGAAAGAAAAATGGAGTAGATCATTCCTGTCAAGGTGGGATCACCAAAGAACAGAGCAACTTGAGGCAGGAACAGGATGGAGAAAGAATTCCACAGCCACTGAGACCTTGTATTACAGATCTGGTACTGACCCTGCTTATCTACAAATTACAAACTCCTTTCTACCCCAGGCCCCTCTTGCACAGCCAGAGAAGACATTCCTGGTATTGGCCATCAAGCTAATCTATTTGCTGCCAATATATGAAATGTTTTAAAGGAGAATTTAAGGACAATGTAGTCTACTTGAAAACATCTCTGCCTCTCTCTGGCAGCAATTTTCTCTCCTCCCTAAATCATAGCAAGATCTACTATTAAATATGACGTGGCAGCATGTCCCAGGCCAGCCCCTGTAGAGCCAGGACAAATTTCCAGTAGTCAGAAGAGAACAAAGGACACTGTAGGCTCCTCATGACACTGTGTGCTTGTCAACTTTCCCCTGGGAAGTTACTTCAAAAAGAAAACCCTGGCTACCCTGTTTCCTCCAAGCCACAGAATCACTGGCCAGGGAGGAGCAGCTAGATACAGGGCCCTACCACCCCAGAATGAGGGTGACTTAACACCCAGGATAGTGGGAAGTACCCTGTCAAGGCAGGAATGTCAGCAGGCTTAGCAGAGTAGTGCCCAAGTTCGGAAGGAAGGGATGGCTCAGTTGTAGATAATAGTAGCAGCCACTGTCACCAGCCTTAGAACACATCAGATGGCAACCATAAGCAGTTACTTTTAGAGCTAGAAATGACCTAAAAGGACATGTGATCCATGGGTTCCACCTGAAGATTCTTCTAGGGCACCTAAAGATTCTGATTCCAGAGGTCTGCAGAGGGGCTCAACAATTCTGCATTCGAAACAAGGGTTCTCAGGTGATTGTGGGCAGAACATTGCCTGACAGACATGCTCAGGGGTGTTCTTACACATGTTTACAATCAGTTCTTGGAGGGAACAAAGGTGGAGGGCCTGATAGTGCTTGCTGATTTCCAGGATGTAAATATTTCTACCACTGTAGATTTCAGAGTACCAATGCAACAATTCAGGGTGCAGAATTGGGAAAAAGATGCCCTCAGTGGACTCTTATAAACTTCTTGCACCCTTCTCAGAGGCCCACAAAAAATGAAATGACACAGCACCTTAGAGACAGAGCCAGGAGAGGGGCCAGATCCAGGGCTCTCCCCACCTTTTTCTAGCTGTCTTTAGGTGATTCTAACCAGGACCTCAGAGACATGGGGATGTTGTGACGGGTGTAGGGAGCAGAACAGGGGTATGCTGAGTGAAATGGGACAGAGAAAGATAGAGCTCACCTTTCTTTGTTTTATTCAGAACCTACATAACCAAACAATAAAAACTGAGTTCACATGGAAGCTAGTTAAAAATGGAAAGATAAGATCCTCCAAAACTCTGGGAGTTTA